CTCCGTGTTGCTAAGGAGCCCGCTTTGTTCGAGCCTTCAAAACTCTGTGGAGCTTTTGGGCAGGCGATCGACGTCCCAGGCATCGAGTACCAACTTTTGTTCTTTATGAGTACCAACTTCTGTCTCTTCGTCGTCGTCGTCGTCTTTTTCCACTTGTTGATCTCTTAAGTTGCTCGAGTCCTCGTCGTCCTCCTCGTCTTCTAGGAACGTGACGTCTCTCGGAATTTCGATGATCAGCTCGCCCTCCTTTGAGGCGACGATAGCGCCACGGTAGAACAGGTCGAATGTAGCCAAGTCGCGGTAGTTTTCGTCCACGATCTCGTCTAGGAAGTTAAGTTGCTCGAAGTTGGCCTCGACGTCGTTAATGCGCACGCTCTTCACCTTGAGTTGCCGCGCGTGCAGCCGCAGGACGCGCAGCTCAGCGGCTCGGGGAGCCAGCACCACCTCGGCCACCCCCGCGACGTGGCGCCGCATGACATCCACACGGAGCGCCACGCGCTGCTGCAGGTACTCGAAGTCCCCGATCATCTTTTGCCACTTGCGACGGACTTGGTGCGTGTTTGGGGTGGACCACGTAAAATTACGGAATGCAAAATAAAAACAGTATTTTACAAATCGGGGGTACTAGTGTAATACCGGTACAAATGAAAAACCGATTTTAAATTGTTTTCAAATTTTGAGACTTCTAGTCAATCTTTACAGCTTAAAGGATGAGGGTGGAAATAAAACCCCCAAAACTCAAACGCAATCAGCTCCTCCCCACTCAGGTGTGCTCCATTTGCTGAGCTATCGGTCTCTAGCGCGTCATATCCCACGTTTTGCTACGTTATTGGTCTTGGTATTTGAACGTCCCATGAATCAAATTCGCTCTTCCGTCTTCAGAATTGTTCGTAATCCCATTGATTGCTGCATTGAAATCTGCCTCCTGTTGAAGTCAATGCGCTTCAATCCGATGTATTTGAGAAGGGATTTAATACTCCTGTCTTCGTCTCCGCTGTCGTCGCGAACGTCGCTCTAATCGATTGGTCTATGGCTCAATCGTTCACATTATCTTTTTTGATAACGCGAGGATCGCGTGCGTTCGAAGCTCTTACTACTGCCTCGTAATTGGTGAGCAAGGCCGCAGTGACCATGACCAAGAAGTGTGATCGCATACTTTGGTGCTGAGCTGTTGGTGGGGAAGGAATTCGGAAAGTGAAGTTCAATGATAGCTACGAGGCGTTTCCTTGGAGCTCAGTTGATTAAGTGTCCGCCGTACAGAAATGTTGCTGCGTGCTGGCAAATTGGACCACTACATTCAAATCCTTCAGTATGATCTTGTACCGCTACTGTAATCGTAGGCTCACATTTCAATATCATTTCCCATACACTTTTGAAAATAAAAAGAACGCACAGCTTCGGTGAATCAAGACCTCCGTACGAATCGAATTTCACAGCCTTTAATCTCTAAAGTCTTGCACGCTGCTTTATCTGCCAATAGAGAGTCATGATCGCAGATGTCTGCATACAGAAGTGTTAGCAGGCAATATTGGTGAGAAGGGCGAAAAAGCGTCCAAAAGGGGAAAACTGTAAAGGCAGTCAGTGATCAGTTGCAGACAGTAGCGTCTGTACGTAAGAATACTCTTTAGATTTACTGTATCAGCGGCGACCAAGGTCAATGAAAACTGTGAATTCCCACGGAGATTATGATGTCGCTGTAATTTTTAGCTTCAGCAAAACTGAGCCAGACTCTGGTTCATATACAATTACGCTTTTTGGAGAGTTCAATGTACTCAAGTCGATTGATTATGTGCCAAAACTCTGCATTTTTTATTGTAAGGACGGCGCTCCAAAACCGCAATCAACTAACTGTATTTTCAAAAACAATTGGCCCTCTAATAGCTCAAAGTTAGACATTTCTTAATAATTTAAATTCGAGTAGCCCTCAAGGTCATCTCCACCGCTATTTTTTTAGTCGTGTACTTATAATTGTAGTAAATTATCTTGGTCAAGACAGAATTATCTCATCGAACATACGAGCTATTCACCACACGTACATAATTGATTTGTTAGTGAACATCAGATTTCGTACAAATTATCTTATCATGGGCAAGCTTTAGGCTCATAACCTTTGTGCTAACCGAGTTGTTGTTGGCCGTGCTCACACCGATAATTGTACATGGCACAGTATCTGACTCCATGCAGGTACTGCAACATGAAATTATATTTCATGATTTTAATAATACAGAACTTTTTTTCTATCAGCTGCAATACAGTGAAACTTATCGGGGTTACGGTATTAGTGTGCTGGTTGGCAAGCTCTCACTTTCTTTTGTTTCAACTTCCTTCACCATAAAAAGCACATTAAGCTCTTCAGAAGCCTAAAACATGGGCCTGAGATCCATGATCCATGATTACGGCCGCAACCATGTTAGTTGTAAAAAGGTGGACATGAGACTTTCAAAGACGAAAGCGCCCACAGTGCCTAACCATTCGTGACTGATAAAAAGAATTTTACGTGGCCCATCTTCCATATGCACAACAGCAACAAAAAGTCCATAATAGTGATTTTTTAGAGAAATGTAGGTATTTGAGTAATGGACGGTCCACTGATCTCGAAATATACATTTATTTTTGGGTTATCCGGAATTTGCATAGATATTTTTAACTTCAGCAATCCTCTGGACTTATCATCGCGGAGTTTTAGGAATTCCGGCAAAGAGCTAGAAGGTAGTACGTTTGTTTTCCTCCTCGACTCGAAACAGATACAACGACAATACGATAATACTCAGCCATTTCTTTCTTACTCGCGAACTTTGAGTCCCGCTAGCGCCTCGCTAAGATCCTTATGTCTCTTCCCACTCTCCTCCATCTCATCGGTCGCCGCCTCCACGAAGCTCTTCACCGTCGGGTCATCAATATTCATCAACGCAATCCTCTTCAACGCTGTCGAGCCCGCTTTCTCCTTGCAGAATTCAGCTGCTTCCGTTACAATCTCCTTAGCCCCCAAATCTCTCGGGTATCCGAATATTCCTGTTGATATCCCAGGGACCGCCACAGACTTCACTTCCAGTCGGTCTGCCTCCAGTAACGCACTCCACACTGCATGACGGAGCTGTGTCGCATGCTCCGACGTCAAAGTCTCGCTCCCCACATTGGGTCCTACAGTGTGGATCACATGCTGGCAGGTAAGCTTGCCAGCCGCAGTAGTAACGGCGTCTCCGACTGTCAATGGTCCGTGGTCTTTGACCCATTTGCTGCTCTCTTGCTGAATGGACGAGCCCCCACTACGTACAATAGCTCCAGCCAGGCCCCCTCCATGCATCAAACGAGTATTTGCGGCGTTGACGATGGCGTCGGCCTTGCAACAAGTAAGATCTCCCTGCATTACCAACAACTCTGGCCCTTCGGTCTTAGGACTCCATCGACAAAGGACTTTCCCGCCGAGTTCTTCCTCTACGCTGGAGGTTGTGTCAATTGCAGCACATGAAGTAGCGAGCTTCGGAGGCGTCTTGCGTCGCGGGCTAGAGCCACTTGTAGTAGACATATTCCAAAATTTACGTCGCATAAATTTCAATATATTAATAGCTAGTTTTTTTTTAATAAAATCGGCGAAATATTTTATAAGACAGCGAAGACGACCTGCTCTTATTTTGAGCTACACTTCTATAGCGGCTAATTTTAGAATCTGTCGACAGTCTTTTATTAGAGCGAGGATAGCTCTTGCGTGTCATAGCTGGATGGGCCAAGGCGGACGAGGTCGCGGGCGGGGCGTGGGCGGCGAGCGCTGCTCGACTGCAGGCTGCAGTAACAAGGCGCAGTCGAGCGGACGCTGCAGAACTCACACGGGGTCGTTAGGTCAGTGCAATCAGTCAGGCTGCGAGAAGCAGGCGCAATACAAAGGCCTGTGTGTGGCGCACGGTGGACGTCGAGTGTGCACGTATCCAGACTGCAGCAAGACGGTGACGTCTAAGGGTTTGTGTGGAGACCACGGAGGAGGGAGACGCAAACCATCAGGCACGAAGAGACCATCAGTCAAGCAGGACAAAGCGGCACTATCGAGTTCGAGTGGAATGTCCATGATGTCGCTGCTGTTGAACGAGTGGCCACAGGATATAGAGGGCGACGGCGTGCATACTCCTGCTCTGTATACAGGACCTATACCGGATGACAAGGTCTCTCCTGGAGCTATCACGTCTCAGAGCTTAGGACACCACGACTCGACTCCGATACCTTATAATGACACGTCGACTTGGATTGTAAGTGACACCAAGTTCTCGACAGATCCAGCTGCAATAGCCACGTCGAGTTCTGTATCTCAGGAGACTCAAAGCGACGGATCCATGCCACATAGTGACAATCCGGCTTGGCCAAAAGACCCTAACGTTATGAACCTGCCGCCTGTGATGTCGGCGGCGTCGGTGATGCCCACAGCAGTTAAGACGTCGACTGTTCGATCGCAGGAGACAAAAATCAACGGATCAATGTCACAGAGTGACGCTCCGACGTGGTCAGGAGACGAGAACGTCATCAAGCTGGAGCATACGCCATCGACCGCTTCGGTTAAGCCGAGTCAAAGTGGTGGGTCCATGATGTCACTTCTGCTTGGAGGGTGGTCTCTAGATACGTACAGAGTCAAGACGGAGGAGAACAGCTCTGAACGGGACTCTGTGGAGACGACGGACAGTGAAAAGTCGGCAGATAGGCCTGTCAGGACGCGCAAGCGGGCGCTGTGCATCCACATGGGCTGCTCCAAGATCGCTCAGTCACAAGGACTGTGTGTAACCCACGGAGGCAAGCGATGCTCTCAATCTGGCTGCACTAAGAGCGCTCAGTATCAAGGTTTATGCACGACGCACGGAGGATCCAGAGCTTGTACGTTTCCTAACTGTGTGAAGACTGTCCGGTCGGGTGGCAGGTGCTTCGAACACGGCGGAGGCAAGCGATGCTCCCACTTGGAGTGCACTAAACCGGCTAAATCCGATGGACTGTGCAGCTCTCATGGCTACAAGTAAAAAACACGTTTTATTAAGATGATATATAGAGATTTGTTCCATCTCGTACAGTTCAATGGTTCATGGCTAGGTAAATTTCCTGTAGGGTATTAATGCACACAGTAAAAAAACAATGAACTATACTCCGTCGTGAGAAAGAGCCGATGTGTCAAAGGGAGCAGAGACTGCGAGCCAAGGACGCGCGCGAAGACTTTTGAAGAAAAGCAAAGGAGCTGGCTCAAGCTGGTCGAATAAAAGAAGAAGAAAGACGCTTGAGCAATAGCGTGCAATTCGTGGGCTATTACAAACGCAACATAATATTTGGTGTGTATTCGGTCATAAACTGCGATACATTCAAACGCGTACACACTAACCCTTTATCTACCTATAAATATACTCAATTTACATTCTACCTTAAATAGGTCACTTCGCTCCCTTTCGATAAAAGGGAACCTGTGAACTGCCGTTCACTGAGAGTTTGTAAACTCTCGGAAGTTAACTTCCTCTAGCGCAAGGTGCTGTGTGACCCGTTACACTTGGTAGGACTCGTAGTCAATCCACGCCACCGCGGGTAGACTACCTGAACCTCTCCGAAGTTCGTTGCCATGAATAGGAACGACTTCTCCCATATGAACGACTCTTAGTTCGAGTCGGTCCGGAAGATGGCAGGCATCTTCGGGATGGAGGCCTTGCAGAGCCTGGTGGTGTCAACACCGGCCGAGTAGCTCGAGCGCGTCAATGCGTTCGACGCGTACGAGCAGGGCCTCATCGCGCATGTGCGGGAGAACCTGCAGGCTCCGGCGGCGGAAGCAAATCCGCCTCACCCGAAGCCAATACGGCTGAAGGTTAAGCCGTATGAAGGGAAGGAAGGCGAGAACCTTCACTTCTGGGTCCGAGAAGTAGAGCTCGCGATGGACGCGGCTCTGATCTCGACCGAGCAACTTCGTGTTGCTTTTGCACTCTCCAACCTTAGCGGCCGTGCTAAGAGTTGGGTGTATACACGGGAAGCAACATCCCCTAGATGTTTCACATCCTAGGCTCAGCTGTGTGAACAGCTCCGAGCCGCGTTCCTTCCGGCGAACTACGAGTACCGCCAGCGTTCGCGCTTCCTCTCGTGTAAACAAGGGAGGCGCGAACTGCACGTCATTGTGGAAATCTGGGTCCTGAATTAAGTACCGCGCTTGAAAAATTGACCCCAGCTTTGACGCATTAATTTTCAGAAGAAATACGTCGTCGTATCCAAGTTCGAAGTGGCTTTTCGCCCATTTGACTGCGTGTTCTCTTGTCCCAAACAACGTCACGAATGGAGTTGGAATGCGGTTGGACCAGTCGAGATGCATCTCCACTGCGCGCTTGAACTGCTGCTTAGTACTTGAACGCAGGCTTGGCACGAGCTTCAACGAC